GAGATGCCTCGTGAAGAAGTCAGATTGCTAAGACGCTCCTGCCACTCCTTTCCCGAGTTCTGGGCGCACAGGCCCCGTGACGGCCGTGGGATGAGGGCGTCTGACGCTGCGGCCCTTAGACGCCTCGCCCTGCACTTCCCAGGAGACGCAGAGGGCTGCTCCGTCTTTTCCATAACGGTATGCGTTCCCTGATGGTGTCTGGAGAACACACAGCGGCCTCCACCTGTCTTTGCTTTCTGCATCTCTGGGTAGAGACATGGCCGGGGAGAAGTATTTCCCTATTATAAGAAAAGCTGGGGGTGGGGAGGGATAAATTGGGAGTTCGGGATTAACAGACACACTACTGTACATAAAATAGATAAACAATAGGGACCTACCGTAGAGCACGGGGAGCTATATTCAACACCTTGTAATAACCCATAATGGAAAAGAACCTGACAAGGAATATATATATATATAACTGAATCACTGTGCTGTACACCAGGAACTAACACAGCGTTGTAAATCAACTACACTTCAATAAAACTTTTTTAAAAATGGTAAGACAGATGGCAAGTGAAATTTGCACTCTGGGTCTGGGAGACACTCGGCATGCAGGTGCCTGCAGGGACATGGCGGGGACTCACATCCCCACCTGGAGGTGGCAGCAGCAAGTCCCCTTAGGGCCCAGTTGGATCGCAAGCCCCATTTGGGGAGAGTGTCTGAAATTTCGAGAGAAGATAGAAGTCCTGCTTTTTTTAGGTGGAACGGCCGAAGTGTTCCACGCTGCCTCTGTCTTTTTCTAATCTGTAACCTGTTCTATTACCCTTCACATGGCTTATGACCACCGGAACATCATTTTGTCTGCTGTTCACCCCCCCACCCCCCTGCTAGAGGTGAGGTCTCCGAGAGCAGGCATGGGGCTGCCACGTTTAGCGCTCATCTCCAGCGTCTGCAATGGTTCTTAGCACATAGTAGGTGCTCAGTGAATGCCAGTTGAATCCGTGAATCGTCCATCACTGGATACTGTTTGCAAAAATACAAGGATTTCATGCAACTTCTTTTTCGGTGGAATCATCTCGGGACTGCGTTTGATCATCAGAGGCATCTAAAAACCAGCCTTTTCATTTTTTTTTAAAACCCAGCCCAGAGTCACCATGGGCACATCCATGCCTCAGGAATTGAATTTGTGAATGTGTGTGTGAGATGCAAAGAAAGCACAGAGCCCTTTCCGTCGCTCCAGCCCAAAGGGAGGCTGGAATCGATGCTTGCCTGCCCTGGTTCTCACTTAACCGCCATCAGTCAGCAGGCTTTTAGCAGAGAATTGCACGTGTGATTTATTTGCAAATCCTTTCAGGTCCTGAAGGAGAGATACTTAGTACACAGCGTACTTTGTCATCGTGTGTCAACCTTGCCTCCACGCGGAGAGCGCCATTACACGATGTAGGAGTGTAATTGGATTGTGCTGGGATCCTTAAATCTGCATTTTCATTTACCCAAAGCCCGCAGCTTTGGGGAGCCATTTGCAACTGACACGAGCCTTTCCGAGGGGGTCAGGGCGCAGAGAGACGAAGGACAGCCAGGAAGCCGCGGAATGCAAACTTTATATTTACAGTCGGTAAGTTTATAAATATAAGTATTACATTCTTACAATCTACAGTACATTCTGCACGTGGACGGACTCGAGAGGGGGCCGCGGAGGCGCTGTTCAACGGAACATCACGCGGGGAAGGATGAAAGAGACGGGAGGAGGCGACTGAAAGCAAAGGATTAGCCCTGGAAAGGGGTGACAGGCTCATCGCCCCACCAGACCACAAAAGTCAGCGTGGGGACAGGAGCAGGTGGCTTATGGCGGTTGGAGTCCCAGTCTTAGAGCCAGCGGACAGCACCTTCGTTCTGGGGAGAGCGCGAAGGTTGAGGAGGTAAATGCTGGGGTTTACATGCACCATCTAAGGAGAATTCAGTTACATGTGTGTACAGAGAGAGACAGAGACGGGGGCAGCGGGAGAGGTTCAGAGAGACACACAGAGCAAGAGGAATTGGAAGATGAAGGATCTAAAGAGCAGAGAGAGAGAGAAAATGATGCAAAGGACACACACACACACACACACACACTCTGATGCCACAGCAGGGCCTCTCCGGGCAGCTCCTTCCTCCACTGTGATGCTCAGGACCGCGCCTGCTTGGCCAGCTTTCCACCATCATCTCTGCCTCGGCGTGAGCATGACAAGGGCGTAAGAACCAGCTAGCCTCTCTGCACTTCCTTTTACAGGCGCGGCACCTGAGGGGTTCGGGAGCTATTCAAGGGTCTGGAGGGTCCTCCGGATCTCAGGCGGCGTTAACCCCTTGAGGACTGACCTTAGGACCAAACGCCGGCCTCGTCCAGCCCTCTGCCCTGCGCGCTGGTACCCGGGTCCCTCTTGCTCTCCACGGAGGAGAAGCAGCCTTACGTTCTGCCCGGCTGCTACTGGGGACAGGTGTCCTGCCCGACCCACCTCGTAACACATCCCGAGTCCCGAGCCCCACCCTGCGCCCTCCGCGTGGACACCCGGATTCATCTCAGCAGCCTTGGGCAGCAGATCGGACGGGACTGTCGACAGACCCATCACAGGACAGCCCCCTCTTCTTTCTAGAACAGCAAGGGGAGGGAGGGGCTGGATTCCCTGCGCGCGGCGCTCACCCGCAAAGACCAGCCTCTTCGAAGAAGGACACGTGCGAAGTTCGCCCAACGGGGTTTCAGTGTCGAGTGTCACCTGGGCCACTCGGTGGGGGCTTACACTGCCCCCCCACCCAGTGCCCACAAGTGACCAACGACTTTCAGAAAGGGGGCGATGTCGGGGAGGAGTACAAATGAGAATAGACAACTGGCTAAAAAAAAAGAAGAATGTTCTTTGAACCCGAATGAAGCTCTGCACTCAGGATGCGTTAGTTTACAAATCAAGGGATGCTCGGAACTGCTCAGAGGGTTTCCCTATGTGAGTCTGTGTTCCTGGCAGCTGGTTACGGAGAGGTCGGTGGCCTGCTTGCTGGCTTGCTCCCTTTCAGTCCTTGTCAGCAGTCGCCTTGGTCTGTCAATAACCCCGCCTTTGGGAGAGAATGACTGCAAAGCACGGCTCCCGAGTGCCGCCTGCAGCCCCAGACTCCGCCCTGCCCGCGCGCCCGGCGGGCGGCGCTGCCCCGGTCCCAGTGACACCGTCCTCCCCTCCGTCCCCTTCAGCCCGGCCTGAGTCTCGCTTTGCCCCCCGTCATCTGCAACAGTGCATATGGCAGCCTTGTGGGTGTCGCGATACCCAAACTGCTTTTATTAAAGAGAGAGAGATGGAGAGAGGAGGACTGGCCTCTCCCGGACGCTCCCAGAAGCTCAGTGATTCACAACTTGTTTGTCTTCCAGGTTTAAAGAAAACCTTCGCACGCGGGAGAGGCCTCTCGGTGTCGGCCAAGATGTCGTGCCGCGGAACGTGTACATCGAATCCGCCTCGGGGCCTCCCCGGGGAGCCAGGGTCGCTTTCCGGGGCCCCGTGGGTGGTGTCCTCCTGACCTTGTCCTGCCGCCTTATTTCTCTGCTGGGGGCCCCGTAAGCCACATGTCCCCAAATTAAAGGCCGAAAGGTGAGTGAGAACCAACGTCAGCCAACGTCCGGCTTACGCATCCCCCTGGAAGCTGTCCGTGTAGTCGTGTGACCCGGCGTGCTCCCCAGGGGCCGGGTCCTGGCCGAGCCAGTTCGCCGCGTCCCCCCTGCGCGTCGCCACGGAGCTCACGGCGGGGCCCCCGGCGTCCGGGGCGATGGCGGTGAAGGTGGTAAATTTCACCCTTTTCCGCTTTGAGGTAGGGGATGCGGGGGGCTCGCTGCGCTGATCCGTGCCGTCGGCGGCCATGGGCCCTGAGGGTCTGAGCAGCTGTCCGTTGATGCCCGTTGGGGCGTCTGCGCCGAGGAGGAACTTACTCTCTTCGAAATCCACGCCCCTGTCGATGGCGGTGATCTGCTCCTCCTGGGAGGAGGCGAAGGTGACGTGACTCTCCAGCAGCTCTGTCCGGTGGCTCAGCCCCACCCAGTCATGGGAGTGGCTCAGCCCTTCCGGCTCCTCGAAGGGGACCTGCTTGTGCCTGTACTTCAGGGCGAAGGTGGCGCAGTTTATGAGGAAGACCAGGATGGCCAGGCCGAAGACGCCCAGCAGAGCATACATGCCGATTTCCAGGTCGCTCAGCCCCTTGGACGCCTGGGCGGGGTCACTCTCGTCCATCTCCCCGTGGCTTCTGGGCAGGTCAACCTGGGCCGGGAAGCTGGTGAGGTCCACGGGGGTGGTCTGCAGGTGGCCGTCGCCTTCCGAGAGGCTGTCCCGGCCATCGCTCCTCCGGAAGGTGGGCTTCTCCGTGGTGGAGCCCCTTCCTTCCATGCGGCCCACGGAAGGGCTGCTGTAGTCCTGTCCGTCTCGACCCCCCCACTCTTGCAAGGGTTTGGCGGGCCTTCTGTCCCTGCCGTCATTGTCCAGGTGCACTCCTGCCCGCCCCGGGTGTCTGCTGTCGCTGCTGTTGTGGTTGGCACCGTCCTGGCCAAACTTAACCTTGATGTTGGCCGTCCCCACGGCCAGCACGCTCTTCCGCTTGGATTTCTGGCACGATTCACAGATGACCATTTCGACCTTGACCAGAGCCCCCTGGCCTTCGGACTCAGCAATGATTACCGGCCACCTGAATCTGGGGTCTTGGTGGACGGACACCACCTTCTCATCCAGGGACGTGGCCGTCAGAGAGAAGTCCTTCACGTCGTAAACGTCCAAGGGAGTGACGGAGCCGTCACTGAACTGCACCCAGCAACTGATGGCTGCCTCCTGTCGAAGAACATAAGGACATTGATCAAAACGGGGGCCCCAAAGCTCATGGAACTCAGTCTTAGTCAAGCAAGCAGCCCGTAGCAAATTAATACCACCAGGACAAAGAGAACCCCTGTAGGCGGCAGAGAGACAGGACATTAGACACATCGAAGGCATGAAAGAAAATGAGCTCTTGTGAGGATGTGGAACCCAGAGGAAAACAACAGTAAAAGGGCGATGGTGAAACGGAACCAGTCCCAAATACCCGCTCATAAGGTCTGCCTTCTCCCCCGAGGTGTTGAAAGGAAGATGGGTCCCTTCCACGGGGCACGGTCTCCGTCTGCGCGGTCACACGCCGCATGTCAGAGGAGACGTGCTGGTTAGCAGGCGTCACACGTTTAAAGGGGAAATATTTGTGATGCTAGTTTTTTAAGTTGCTTCAATACGGGGTCTCCGTTCGTCACTCGCAGCCCAGACGAGAGCCCGCAGTGCAGGTGGGGCAGCCCCGAGGAGCCGCTGCCTTGGGGTGTGCGCGATCTGTACCGGCTGCATCTGGGCATCTGGGAACAGGCTCCCACCGGCCTGCGGACGCGCTGTCGGCCTGGCGGCAAGGAGCACAACCCGCCGCCCGGAGGGAGGAAGCGCTCCGCTGGGAGCGTCTCCCCTCCCATCTTCCAGCCCAGCCAGCTCGGGGTAATTGGGAGACTGACTGGACGGGGCCAGGGCGCGCTCCCATCACCCTCTCTTGCCTTTCTATCGGTTGCTTGAGACCAACTTGCCCTGGGGCTCGTCTGACCAGAGAGATGGAGGTCACAGACCAGGTGACCTCCAAGCCTTTAATTCCAGTGATGATGTCACTGTGGTTGACAGCCCGTTGCTCCCCCCCCCACCGCCGCTGCTCCTGCCCCCTGGAGGACCTGCACGACCCCAAGCCCCGAAGGGCACCCAGCCCTAAGAGGCCCGTGCCCCGCCCACCCAGCTATGGCTGGTGGCACCCGGAGGACGGCTGCTGCCGGGGACCCTGACCCCAGCAGCTCTGAGCCAGCTGGTCCCTCCCGCTCCAGTCTGAAACAGGAGAGACAGGACTGAAGCTCTTAGTGGTGGGAAGAGGAGTGCGAGCTCCTGCAAAGCTCAGGAGCGAAGCCCCGCTGTGGAGCAACCACAGTGGACCCGCAGGGCCTGGGCACAGTGCTGCTCTGATGACAGCAGGGGAGTGAGTGAGCCCACTGCCCCCCAGGCCTCCCAAGTTCTTACAGCTGGGCCCGTGAGAGTCTCTCTATCCTGGTTTCTCATAACAAACAATAATATTTATTATCCCATGTACTTTTAACTTGCTTTGCGTTTCTTGCAACCAAAGAGCCCCTGACCGCAACAGCGATGTTTTCCCGATGGCATCCAGCCTTTGGAAGAGAGAAGAAAGGCTTCTGCAACATGACTGGTGGCCTCGGCGCCTCCTTCAGCTCAGCCCGTGAACACTGACCTTGTGCGACCTTGGCTTGGACTGGCTGCTAAGCGGAGACCACCGCCAAGATGGCGCAAAGCCACTGGCCGTGACCCTGGGCTGCCAGGTTCTCCCACCCTGCCACGAAATCACAGGAGGCACTTCAGACGCACCCTGGAGGTCTTGAAACTGGAGTGTCAGAGCCCAGCTGCAGGCAGGGACTAAGCTCTGCCCAAACCAGGCGCAGAGTGAACCTCAGGGGCACGCGTGTGGCTCAGCACGTCCGGCATGCGCTAGCTCGGTGGCCGGGTCCTGTGTCTCGGCACCACCTGATTTGATGGCCCCAGGAAGACAGGAGGGGGCCTGGGGCTACTTCTCCTTCGCTACCTGTCACATGCATTCAGGCTGCCATCCTCCTGCCCCTAGACGAGGGAGGCTTGCCTCTGGAAGGATTCGCCTCCGGGATGGAGACCATGCACTTTCAAGTGCTTTTTAACCCAGACCCCTGCACACAAAGAGCAGCGTGGAGGGGCGAGGGGCCAGCTGGGACCCGACAGGGGCACATTCGGGGACGGGCACAGGCTGGGAAACGACTCGGCTCCCGGCGTCCAGCGGCAGGCCCTGCTCGGGCCGCTTCCCGCTCGGCTACAGTCCCAGCCTCCGCGGGTGCAAGAGGGCTCCAGGTGCCAGAGTGCCCGCCCAGGGGCGGCTTCCAGGGGGCGCTCCTGGCCGATGAAGGAAGCCGCCCGCAAATCCCGGACGTGGGCTGGAGGCCTTCCAGCCCCCCACGGGGGGACCGTCCCCATTCACGGGAAGCAGGGAATCGACGGCTCGAGACTGCTGTCTTGGTTGCTAATCAAAGTTCACCCAGGTTCTTTCTCAGAAATAATGTTTATCCCCCTCTGATGGGAGGCGATCGGATGACATTTCCAAGTGCCCTTCGAACAGTCCCCTGTGTTTGAAAATCACTGTATCAAGGCACAAACACACAGCACACGGTATGCACCCCAACAGGCACACACCCACAACACAGACAATTTTCACCACACGCAATGTGTAGTGTACACAGCATGCACAACACACACACACAGAGTGCACACAGCACACACGCACCCGCACAACACACACCCACGTGCATACGCGGCGCGCGCACGCAGACCCCTCCATTAGCACACGCTGGTTCGAATAAAGAGAAATGGGACTACGACTGACACCATGGCTGGTTGTTACTCATGCTCTGAGCTTAACAGCACACGTGGCAGCCATCTCCTCCCGTCTCCTTCTGACCCCCCAGACCTGTGACCCCATTTTTTTGGGCAGGGACTTAGCAGAAGGCTGCAGACCCTTCCTGGGAGTCCGTTCCTGCCCTCACATCCACCTCACTGCTCCAGGAGGTCAGCGGTGTCTGGAGCCGGGATGTTTGGACGGTGGAGGAACGTGACACAGCCAGGTGACACTTCGTGGGGGGTGGGGCCCGGGTCTCCCATCTGCAATCATTCATTCATTGCAAACTGTTTTTGGGGGGCATCTCTGTTTGGGGGGCTAGGAAGCCTGAGGCAGAACAGTCACCCCTTCACAACCCCTTTCAAAACAGAAACACTCAATGAGCGACCCCTCCCCCTTTTGCAAGATCCCAAATTAGTGACACCTGATCTCACGTGTGACCTCAGCCCACTGTGCGACCTCTCCTGATGTGTGACCCGCTTAAGGCAGGACTCCACCCAGTCAACAGCCCCACTGACGTGTAATTCAGCTGCACCATGTGACCCCTCGAGAGCCGTGTGACCCCCCCGGTGTGCGGCCCCGCCTGCGGTGCCCCAGGCCCCACCCCCACACCTGTTTGGGCCGCTGCAGCAGCTCCTGGGCCACCGCTGTGGCGAAGATGGCCCTGTTGCTCCCCGGGCTGAGCTGCAGGGAGACGGACAGCCCTGTCACCAGCTGCACCCCGAGGTCCGTGATTGCCACCTTCTCGTCCAGCACGGAGATGGTCTTCTCCGCCAGGATGGCGTCCGACAGAGGCGACAGGATCTGAAAGGCAGAACCGACATAGCGAGGAAAGGCTCCCTGCCGGTGCCGAAGTCCCTCCCACGGCACAGACGCTGCTCCGTGCCAGCGAGGGGTGGGGGCCGACGGAAGAGGCAGAGAGAGCAAAGGCGAGTCTTTCCCACTACACCTGCTTCTAGCAGATGCAGGCTTGGGAAAGTGCAATGCATTTTTTTTAAGTAACAGCATGAGGGTGTCAAGGAGAGAACGGCATGGGACTCGGCAGCCCGGACCCCGCGTGCAAATAAACTCCACCACGCACCGTGCACAGAACGGACGTTCGCATTCGCCCGAGGACTGACTTTGATTCTTCCTCAGCGTGGACCATTCCTGCTGTCACTTAGCGCTCTTGCTGACTCTGCTGTTCCTTATGTGTTGTTTAAAAATATTTTACTTAAAAGAGTTGTTTTAAAAAACTTCATGGTGTCAAAGAAAAATGGTTTTGACACGCCAGTTTGACATGGCGTTTCTCCCTTATATGCACCATCACCAATTACCAGGTGCACTCAAAGAAGAGACGATGGGTCCGTGTACCACCTAAGTCGCCTTGTGTGCCCCAGGAGCTCACGGTCCACACTTCGGGGAGCCACGAACTGTGACACTCAGTTGCATTTTGGAATATCAGCTTGCCTCCTCCGATAAACTCAGCTGCGAGCCCGACCCCAGGTGCCAATGTCCCAGAGTCTCCTTTGTCTCTGGACACCGGTGATGACTTAGGGGCTGAGGCTCACATTCAGTGTGGACCCTGAAGAGGAGACCCTGCTTCGGAAGAGCATCTGTGTAACTGTAACTGAGCAGGACCCAATGGGACAGATTCCCCCCCTCCCAGTGTCCTCTGCCTGCCTCCTGTCTGTAGAAAAACTTTAGCCAAAGAATAAATTTAATCAGAGAAAGGAGAAAATGCAGAAACAAAGGTTAACAGTCAGGCAACACAGAATAACAGTTCAGCCATTACACAAAGTCAAGGACCTTTACTTCTCCGCCAGGGGCTGGGGAAATTATTCTGAGCCACATCCTTCGAGCTGTTTTGTAGGTACTAAAACCCCCACCAGTGGAAGACGTGACCCGCATGATGACCAGACTACAGCCATCACATAGGCTGCTTCAGCTGCCACCGTTCTGAGAACTGGCCTCAAGGAAGTGGGGACGAGCCCACTCTGGAGGTGAAGATTAACTGTACTTAAAAAATTCAAGAGGACGCTGTTCACACCACTGCATGACCTATTTCAAGATGACTGTCAGAGCTGACTATGCGGTTCTGCACATTATCCCCTCCCTCGCCTTTGTACCCCTGAAACTCCCCTTTAAAATCTCTTGCCCCCGATGGGCAGTGGGGGGTTGGCTTTTGGACATGAGTCCACCTTCTCCCCAGGCTGCCAGCCTCTAGGACAAACAACCTTTCCTTTCCTACCAACCCTTGTCTCTCGAGCACTGGCTTTTGAGCAGCGAGTAGCTGGACCTGAGTTTGGAGACAGAGTCACCTCTCCTTCTCCCTGCCCCTCACTCGAGGCACGCAGACTCCGGGCAGATGTGAGGCTAGCGAGAGTCCTCGCCTCTGGGGCTCTCTTACCTGGATGGTGGTCATCCCAAGCTCCTGGCCGATCAGGACTTGTCCCCCGTGCAGCCTGGCGATCTGGGGCCCCTCCACCTGCATGAAGTCGTTCACCAGCTCCGTGATGTCCACCTGCCAGTCTGAGCCCAGCAGGTGGGCCAGGTGGCCTGCAGGGCCCGCTGCCTCAGCCACAAACTGAGTCAAGACCCGCACCATGGCGTGCTGGTACTGGAGGGTGCAGCCTCGGCCCCTCCTCTCGTCTTCATCCTCTTCCTCGCTGTCCCGAGCTGGCCTGTCAAAGGGTTGGTTCAGTTTAACAGATGCCAATTTGTTGGGTCAAAGGTGGGAGGCTGGGGGTGGAAAGGAGAGAGGGCAGGACACTTGTCCTCAGGGCGATCACAGCCTGGGGTGATACTCAGAGTACTTGACCACTGGTACAGCCCGCGTGCTGGCGAGTCCGAGTGGGCGGGTGTGGTCAGCAGAGGTCGAAGGTGTCCCCCGTGGTCCCCACCTCCTGGTTTTCACTGAATGAGATCCCCTTCCTTTTTGCACCTGAGCTGGACCTAGTCACTTTCTTCCAACAAAAGATTACACCAAAAGTCACGGGATGTCTCTTTCAAGGTTAGGTTTGAAAAGACTATGACTTCTGCTTGCTCGGCACCCTCTCCTTGAGCCCTGAGGAAGCCAGCTGCCATGTGGTGGGCGGCCCTGTGGAGACATCCCGTGGCTAGAAACTGTCAGTGGCCTCTGGCCAACAACCGACGGGGAACTGGGGCCGTCAGCTCAATGGGAGCAGCTGAGGTCGGCCAACAACCTCATGAGCTTGGACACAGATCCTTCCCCACATGAGCCTCGAGATGAGACCACAGCTGCAGCTGACAACTGGATTGCAGCCTGGAAGGGACGCGGCTAAGCCCTGCCTGGATTTTCTGATGCAGAGAAACAATGAGGTCATACAGATTTTTCTTTTAAGCCAGTTGGTTTGGGGATAAGTATTAAGTTATGTAGAAGGGATCACTGACACGATAGGCTACGGATGGCCGGTACGGCCCTGCAGACCAGCACACGAGGGCGGGGAGTGCGTAACTCAGCGAGGTGCTACGTGGGAGTCACCGTAGGAAGGGCGGGGATGGCTTGGCCCGGAGGCGGATGCTCGTTGCGCCCTCAACACCGGATGCCTTCCGCGCAGGTGGCGCCCCTCAGCTCCGTCACAGTCTCGGGCTGGAGAGCCGCCCACCTCCCGCGGTAGCTCCGTCGCCGCGTCTGGGCTGGGCAGTGGTGACGGCACCGGACGCGGCCGGCTCCCGGGCGAGGCTTCCCCTGCAGCTGCCTGCCCTCGGCAGCATCGCTCTTCACTCTTAACTCATCCCTTCTCCCAACTCAACATCAGGAACCCCGGTGGGTAAGAAAAGGATCATGGCTGAAACCGTCTTCCAGCTGCACAAGGGACCCAAGCCATCATTCCTGAAGCCGTCCCCTCTGCCAGGGGCAGCAGGGACGAAACGGGGTGGACACCCAAGGAGGGGAATATAAAATTAGCCCTCAGGTAAATGCCACTTCTCTGCTCCCTGCTGAGTACCCAGACTCCAGGAATATCTCCTCATCTAATTCTGCACACGCTCACCTTTGACCTCCTAGGGCTGACTTTTATATGGTTCCTTAATTAAGCACAGGTTTCTCTGAGGTGACAAAACCTCTGACCAAAGAGCCTGAGCTTTTACAGTTGTCTTTGTACCCGATGTCCATTTTGTCGCTTGATGTGGATGGTGGAGACATCGCTCCATCAAACACCGTCAGAGTGATGCACCAGGCACACAGGTGACCAGCCTCAGACGATCTCAGGGCTTCTGGGCGGGGGGCACCAAGAGACGGCCCGGGTCAGGCAGCACCTGTTCAGTTGTCTCTCTGGTGGACGACTGTTGCTCACGCCCTCCCAGAGTCAATCCTCCCCTCTGAGTCGGTTCAGGCAGGCTCGACCTCTTTCTCTAAGCTCCTCTGGCTCCAGCCAGGGGACTGTGGCTGAAGCCTCCTCGGCCGACCAGCGCATTCTATCTCCTCAGTTATGGTGATTAGATCAGGGATGGGGCCCACAAGCCGAGTGAGGGTAAGACTTAACTCTAGGGCTTTTGTTGGAATTACTGGGGGAGCGAGGATGTCCTTTCTGCAGAGTTGCAGAGAAGACAGAGTCCAAGTCTGGAACCCGGTGAGGGAAGCCTGATAGAGAATGAAGCCAACGCAAAGGAAACCAGAGCCGAGAGGTGGAGAGAAACCCCGTCTCAAGGGTACCACCGAACCCCCCGCATCAGTTCACGCCTGAAATGAGCTACCCTGTAAGTTTCCACTTTTAGCCTAAGCGCACCTGCCGTGGGTTTCTGATCGGAAGTCTTGACCAGCACACTCACCTCTTGTTGGAGACGATGGGGACCCGCCAGCCCTTGATCTGGTTGAGCTCGGTGTCCGAGACCTCGATCTGCAGGGGCAGCCGGGGGACCCACACCGTCATCTCCAGGGGGCTGTGCAGGTGCTGGTAGGTGAAGTTCACCACCACGTTCACCTTGCCTCTCATTTCCTTCCCATTGACAAAGACGTAGTCACACCTGTCCGAAACCTGTGAAGAGGCGAGAGAGGGTGGGGGACGCAGGCGTTTTTATCGTAAACCATGGAGAAAGGAAAAGCGAGAGCACGGAGTAGGAAAGAGAAGTATTTCTTTCCCTTTTCCGTGGCTGTTTCGAGGTCCGGACGGTGAGGGGTGGGTCTGAAGGTGCGCGCTGGTGTTTGCTTTCCGATATTGCAGACGCTGTAAGGACGGATGCTGTGGGGACCGCCCCCTCCCCGGGGGTCTCTTGCACTGGTTGGGGGCACTCATCCCCACGTGCTGCAGGGGCTCTGCTGACGATTTATGCTGGGTCTGCCCTGGGAGGCCGCCCTTAGGCGCTGGAGCTGCACCCGCAGACTTACCTGGGTGCCACGCACCTCGCACCGCCCCTCTCCGCCCCGTGACTTCCTGGCTTGCCTCAAGGAAGGATAAACCGTGCGTGTGTGTCGCTACCCAGAGCTCCCCCGGGGCTCAGGCAGGGGAAGGCCATGTGTCACCAAAGCAGGGGGCTGCACTGCTGCTATTCTTGGTTTTGGGATTCCGGCCCCCAGATCTGTGAGAGGAGGAAGGAAGTGACCCAGCCAGCGGCGACCTGCGAGGACAGCCCCGGAGAGCTAACAGACCTCCCCGCCGAGGCCCCGGCTGGGCCGGTGAGTCTGCATTCTGACGGACGCCCCGGCTGACTCTCACTTAGACGGACAGCTGGGAGCCACGGGCGGAGGGCTCTCGGGGCCCAGGGCAGGAGGAGTTCTGTTACCCTCTTGCTGCACAAAGGCCCGGCTGATCCGAGGAGCTTCTCACGAACATGAAATCCGCCCCCATCTGTTCTCAGAGTCTCCGGCTTTGATTTCATCTTCTAAGGTGAATGCGAGCCGATTATGGAGACCCTCCCTCGCTCTCAACCCCTCAACAAAAGCCCAGCTTTCCCGGCGGCTTTGGGCTCGAGGATTCTCTGCTCCACGCCTGGCGATGCCGCGCAGTAGCCCTTACAAGGCTGACGTGAGTGCTCTTGAACACACGCCTCTCAGACGCAGCCCTGCGGTGCCGGTGCTGACTCGGCATCACCGACTCGACGCCCTGATTCCCCGCCTCCGCAAGTGGCGTTGCTGGCGGTGTGGGCGTCCTGCTCAGTGAGAGGGGCCCACCTGAAAAGGCTGCCTGCTGTGTGGTCCCAGCCCTGCGACCTCCTGGGAGAGACAAAACTCTGGAGACAGTCGAGCAATGAGGGGTCAAGGGGGACGGGGGGATGAAGGGCAGGGCACGGAGCATTTTCAGGGCAGGGACACTGTCCCCGTGTGATGCTACAATGGCGGATCCATGTCACTGGGCTTTGGCCAAAAACCACCAAAATTTCAACACAGAAGTTTCACCAAAAGTGAACCCAAGCGTGGAAGCTATGCTCTGTCGTTATTAATTAAGTATCAAAACTGGCTCAAATCCCCTCCTCCTCCAGTGTTTATGACAGTAGTTACTGCACCCCAGGCACTGCTCTGGGCCTTCCATGTTGTATTTAATCTTCCAGCAACTGCCGGAGGTAAGGACTGTTGTGCCTACGTTGTGAGAGAGGAAGTCGAGAGGGCATCGAGAGATCCGGCGGGTGGTCTGGGGTCACAGCTGGGAGGAACCCCAGCACCCCAGCTCCTGGGGCTGTATGTCAGGCACTGGCCCCCGAATTCCCACCCAGAACGCTCAGGTTAGCTCCGAAGTGACGGTCTGATCTCAGACTCCGTTGCCAAGGGGAGAAACACTTCTATCCATAAGGATGGGTCTCCTCTCAGCGGTTTTTAAAAAATTCCTAGAGCTTTGTCACACATCACGAATGTTTCACATTGGCTTTTCGAGTCTGAGTACATACCTCATTGGAGATTTCTTTTAAATCTTTAAATTTTGTTTTGGTATAAAAGAATGGAAAGTTGGTACAGACTCATGGTTCGAAGGCCAAACAGCACAGGAGGAAGAAAGTGCGGTGAGAATTAAGCCCCTCGCCCTTCCAGCTGCGGCTCCCCTGCCCCCCGCTCCCCACCCTGAAGGTGACCATCATGCCCAGTCCTGTGCAGCCTCCCAGAAGAGTCCGTGTATATACAAGCGTTTGAGTACATATTTTCTTATTTTTCTTTAAAAAAAGAGGGTGGCCACTGTTCTGTGCTTTTCCCTTAAAAGTAGAGCTTGTGGGAGGTTCTAAATCCTTCTCAGTAAACTTCAGGTTTCTAACACTCAGAAGTGTAAGAATGAAAGCCGTTCTTTTGAAGATGGGGGGTAAATGGAAAGCAGACACCGGCGTTCCTGTAAGCACAGGGGAGACACAGGAAAGGTATTTGGAATCAGGAAGCGTCCCGTGCAGCGGGAGGGCCCGGCGGCCCTGGGACGCGTGCTCTCAGCCCCCGCCCCGAATCTCACGGCCCCCCCGGGGGAGGGCCGTGCACCCCTGTCGCCGCCTGCCGCTCCCCCAGGACGGCGCCCTGACTGCTCTGGGTCCCAGGGGCGCGGGAGCTAGGCTGGCCCGCGGCCCGCTGGACCTGCTCGTGTTCTCTGATACCCTCTGCGTTCAGGGACCAACCCCGGAATGAAACAGTGCTGCTGCCAGTTAACACGAGAGCAAAACAGACTTTTGACATCAAAAGATCATTGGTGCAATGCCCTGGAATGGGACAGGCCATGGAGCGTGTTGCATGTCCTGGCCACTCCGGGTCACCGAGCTCGTCGCCCCTGCCCTAAGCGCTCTGGACGTGGCCGGGTGCGACAGCTCACGTCCGAGGGTGCCGGGGAGGAAGGGACCTCAGGAGGGCTCCCAGCATGTCCGTTTCTGCTGCTCAGATGCTCCGGGACCACCCCCTGGGCTCTTTTGGGTTCACTGAAGGCCAAGCCAAGAGGTCCTTTGCTGGTTTCCACAAAGGATCCCCTCACAGGAGGTTTCCCAGAAACTGTTAAATTTCCTGCAGATTCTCGGGTGCCGGGGGAGGGGCTCCCGTCGCCCTTCACACGCCCTCGCATCTGTGTCCTCACCACCCCCCTCCTCACCCCCCCCAGCTCCATCACAAGCTTCGTGCTCACCTGGCTCCAGGAGAACCGGTTCCACCCACAGCCCCGACCTCCGTGTCTCACCTGGACACACAGGGACTTCTCTTTCTCAAAAAGCTGAGTAATAACTTACGACCCGGATGGGCACGCATCTTACCCGCGCAGCTCAGCACATGCTTAACACCTGTCGACACCTGGACACCCCTCCGAGCCCCAGCCATGCGCAGCCACGCGCAGCCTCCCAGAGTCTCCCTCGCCCCTCCTCTCCATCACCC